AATTAATGGATGAAATTAATAAGGTAATTTTATTAATAGAACGTGAGTAATCAAATAAATTTGGATAACTAATAAATTAAGTTAATAAATTCAAATAATAAAATAAAAGGAGAAAATCGGGTAAAGTAATTACAAATAGAATAAGTGACTAATTTTATCATCTTAATTAAAAAGGTGATTATCTAGAGACCGGATTAGAGGAAGATAACTAGGAGCATCAGGACTTAAGGTAAGTTTCTCTGCCAATCCAAAATTTGTTTCCTCGTACTATATGCTTATTATGCATTATGTGATTAAGTGTGAATTTTAAATGTGTACTATTTGGGGTGACTAAGAATTTGTGAAATATTGAAGATATATTTTGGGATTTAATCCCTAGTATGACTTTGGAGTGCATTTTAGTATAAAGGAAATTTTGGAGTATTTATGAATGTGAATTTTTGGTGGACGTATCTATTAAATAGATATTCTGGATTATTGTATATAGAGAGGATTTTCCAAGAATGAATAATGTTTTTATAATAATTATTGACATCTCGAGAGAAACGCGAGGTGTGGGTGGTTAGAGCTATATACCGCGGGTTTAGTTTAGGTTTAAGATGATTATTGGTGGCGGGAGAAATCCCGGTAAATATTGGTGGCGGGAGATTCCCGGTATTTGTTTTGAGAAATTCAATAGTTCTTTGGTGGCCGCGGTAGTAGTTTCTAATTACCCGGGTATCTAACCCATTGTGAGGTAGGGGGACGTTGTCCGAACTACTTGGACTTCTTACTACTCGGAGGGCTTAGAATCCCTTTTAGGGGTGTGCACACTTAAGGGTGAAGTTCAGTTTCCAATTGGTGGTCGGTGGGAGCCGGAATTCCGGGATGAGTCGTACGCAACAACGATTCATTGGGCTCGAGGAATCTTGAGTTTCGCCCATCTTAAAAGAATCTGAAAGTGACATTGATTTCGGAATGGTGATATTTTTAGCTACAAAAGTTATTTTTGAAAAGTGATACTTCTTTTGAGATATTAATTAATTGTTGGGAGCTTATAAATATTATTTTTAATAATACGGGTATTTGAGATTATAAAGTTGATAAATAATGTTTTGAAAAGAATTTCGGTGGTGTGAGTATTTTTATATATAGTATTATATGAAAAACTATTTTTGTCAAACTTGAATATTTTACGGGGTTGGGTAGTACTTACTTAGCTCTAAAGCTAATTTTTGTTTCCTTTTCTTTGTTTTGTTCTCTGCACTTTATTTGCGCAGGTAATGATGAATATGAAGCTCATGATGTTTGACGAGCCTTGAGAGCGCTTTAGAAGATTTATGTGTAGCCTTCACTTAGTTTAAATAATGTTATTAAATTTTGAATTTTAGTTTTTAATTCGGTTGAACTCATGGTGGATAGCCTTAACATCCAGCCAAGTTGAGGGCTGGGTGTGGCGGTAACACACCCTTTTTCCATTACTGTTATTTCCGCTGCAAAACTCTATCTATTTTAAGGAATAAATCAAGATTGTTATCAATATATTATTATTTCAAGTATTATTTTGGGCGGGAAAAATGGGGGTGTTACAATGTACCTTGACTCTAATGGTCTTGTACAGATAAGGCATGGTGGTTCTATTCAAGAAGCTGAAATCTTGCACAACACATGGATTGTTCTAGGCAAAACACCCCAAGAAGGAATCCAAAACTACCTGGACTGCAAGCTCTCTACCCCTTGGGTCAGTTGTGTTAATCCTAGGAACCTAGCCTCCATAAGGGCTAAGGTAACCGAAGAGTTCCAGAAGCATGCTGATGATATTGATGAACCTTAACTTATGTACCTTATCTCTTCTATCTGCTTGATAATAAAGCTCTTCTGTCTCTTTGCTTTTATGCTAACTTGTTTCACTTTGTTTGTTCTGATTATTTGTTCTGATGTTCTGTTTATTTGCTCTTCTTTAAACTCTTACTGCTCTCCTATGAAAGTTGTCAACCTAGATAAAATAAAATCTTTAACTTATCTTTTTAAGGTGAGAGGCACTTCTCTGGAAAGTAGAATTAGGGTTTTGGCATCATCAAAAAGGGAGAAATTGTAAAGAACATATTGTTTTAGATTTTCATGATGCTAGACTAATTAGGATATTAGAGTACCCCTTAGAAATTATGCATTAGAATTTTTTCTATGTAAGTACTAGGGGTATTCGACAGACAGAACTGCTCGGACTTAAAGACTCCACATAACTGCTTGGGTTTAAAAGAATCAGCAGAAATGCTCGAAGCCTTTGCTTCAGCAGAACTGCTCGAAGCCTTTGCTCCAACAGAACTGCTCTCACTTAGAGAGTTCTACAAGCTGGTTAACTAACGGAAAATTCCCTAACGGCTAGGAGCATTTCAACTGAAGAGCTACAATATGCACATTAAATGCACATTTAAAGAGCTCCACAAGTTGAGATTATTAAAGAACATGATTGACCAAGAATTCAGGAGAATAATATTTAATTCTTCCCGAGATAGTAAGGCGACTACTTTTCAGTCAAGTCAACAGTGCATGCATTTAATGAATATGTTTTCTACACTTCAACAAGAAGACATCTCTCAGTATATATAATGCATTTTGAAGGATTGACCGGATAACTTTCTCCTATAATCTTTCACTCTCTACAAGCAAATCAAAATCAAGCAAATACTCTTGAGACTTCATCTTCCTCACACTCAACAAGAAAAGCTTGACGTTGGCTAACATGTTACTTTCATATCTTACTATCCAACTTGAGAGAAAAGTTCCTCCAGTGCCTTCAACACTTAGAAAGCTTCATCTACACATCTTGTACGAAGAACGTTGGAGAAAATCTTTTGCTATTCATTCAATCTTCTTGTTTTAAGAAAGACATCTCAAAGTAACTGGAGTAGTGAAGTGAGGATACTTCAAAAAGCTCAGTGAAACGAGACCAGTCATCAGAAAGCTAGGAAGAACATCCCGGGTGACAACTAGATTTGAAAAAGACGAGGAGTGCTTCTTAAGTGCTAGTACTAGGCATTGTAACTTGATCTTTTACAAGCTTAGTGGAATAGTGGACTAGAGGAATGAGTTGTTCCTTGAACCACTATAAAAATCCCTGGTGTTCTTTATTTATTGCGTTTAATTCTTGCATTAGATTCTAATTGTTTATCTAAACAAGGCTTGGAATTTGTTTTCAGGAAATCGTGCTTTCCGAGTTAATAGAAAGGCAACTGCCTTAGTGTGTTTGAGAGGCTACCCGACCAGAAGACCTATCCGCTGCAGGTCGGTTCTGCTAAGAACTTGACCCTCCTCTGTGAGTCGTTTCCTTAGACTCAAGAAATTTTGAAAATCAGAATAGTATATTCATCCCCTCTAGACTGTTTCGTGTGTAACCGGCACTAGTAGAAAACTGTCTTATAGTGACACTTCATTAGTGACACTTTCTGCTAAAATGTCACTATTAGACGACATTTAGTATTTACAACAAATAAGTGTCATACGTATATGACACAAAAACATCAACAAATAATAGTGACACTAAATAAAAAAATATTGAATTTTAACCTTAACAAATATTCACTTTTTGTTTCCCTCCCAAAATATACTTCTCGTCCTCTATTTTTAGCAACCCCACGCAGCAAATTCTTTCCTTAGCCATACTCCGCTTTCTTTTCTTTCCTTAGTCAAAATAATCCCACGAATTGTCCCTAGATCTATCATTTTTCAAAGAAACCCATTAGAGCTTAAAACCCTAGCTAGATACACTGATGGCTCTCGATCGTCACCATCGCCACAACTGAAGGTTGCGAAGAACATCACTGTCACCAACGGCTCTCGATCGTCAACTAGCTTGGGAAGAACATCATCAGTACCTGTGCATTCCGGTGAGGATGGGCCACCTGAAAGGCCGGTAGGACGTGGTGACACGCAGACTGTTGATTCCTCATTACTTGAGCAAGCACATCGTACCGTGCTGTTTAATACCCCTGAAGTCCAACCTTATATACAGTATGGCTTAACTTTTATAAAACTTACTTAATTTTCCTTCACTTCCATATTTAATGATTTTTCTAATATTAAATGATAGGGAACACATGGATATATTACAGTCACAGGATATTGGTTGTTGTGAAACGGAGCATTATCGTACATTTGTTAACTGGTTTGACGAGAAGGTTGATAAATCTAACCTTATCTATATACATAACAAATAATAAGAGTCAAATGTACTTAAAATTTAATATTTCTTTGTAGGTGTGTGTTGATGTTGCGAATGGTGTGACTGTCCCTGAAACAGTGAGGTGGTTAGCTAAGAAGCCTAACACAACAGTGACAATATACTCAGGCTATAATATAAATGGTTTTTCCTTTGCAACTAAGGATCGAGATTCGAATCGGGTAACACAAAACAGTGGTGTTAGTCTCGTAGCAGAAACTGTTCAAGTTTCCAGCTCTAAGGATAAAACTCCTTGTTTAGCATCGATGAATTATTATGGGGTCCTTGATGAGATTTGGGTCTTGAACTATCTAATGACTAAGAGAGTTGTTTTCAAGTGTTCTTGGGTAGATAGTAGGCATGTGAAAACTGACAAGTTGGGCTTCACGGTAGTGGATCTTAATAAGATAGGTCAAAAAAATGATTTTTTCATTTTAGCTTCCCATGCCAAACAAGTTTTTTATGTGAGAGATCAAGTTGATCCTAAAAATCAATAGTGTGTTCAGTTGGGCAGAAGGTTAGTAATGGTATGGATGTTGACAGTGATGAAATGATATTACACGAACCTTTAACTTCACAATACCCAAACCATTTTAACGATGTGGAAGCTGAAGATGATGATCGAATTTATCATAGGATTGACATTGATGCAATTCCAACACTCAATGAGTCTCAATTACCCTGATTTATGTACTTCATTCAGTAAGTTATAAGCGTACTTGAATCATTCTTCTCTTGTGATTCATTACTTTTTTATTTTCAGTTATTAAATAGTAACCGTATTTTTGTATTATATATCTACAGGTGAAAGCAAGCCATGTCAAAGAATTAAGAAGTCATGGATGGTTTTGATGTGGACGAAGGGTTGGATGATTTAGGCCAACGCCCTAAAAGGAGACAAAAGACAAAGAAGAAAATGCTGCTAAAGAAATCTGCAGATGATAAGGTGGTGGTAAAGGTGAATAGGTTTGGTGTTCATGCAGGTAAAGAATGGACATAGCTGACCAATTATATTGGTGTCTTAGTGCGGGATCATGTTTCCATAGTGCATGATGAATGGAGACATGTGGCAGTTAAACTTAAAGACCAAATGTGGAATCATCTTAAGGTAATAAATAATGTTTGTAGAAAACAAGGCTATATTTCAGTATTTAAACTCTTAATCTGCTAGAGGGCTAACAACGTTATATTAAATTGTATGTAGGAATTGTTCGTGTTGAGTGAGAATTCAAAAAAGCATGTCTTAGCTACTATGAGTGTAGCTTTTAGAAATTTCAAATCTGAGTTGCGAACTAACTTTATCTATCAACATGAGCATGAGCTGTAGAAGTTAGCATTACCTCCCGCGGAGTACAAACACATTTCGAAGAAAGAATGGAAATTATTTGTGAAGAAGACTTTCTCCGAAGAATTTGTGGTAAGTTATACTCCTACTCAAGATTTTGTGCTAAGTTACACACCTACACTTTGAGTATTGCTTTGTTTCATTTCAGGAGAAAAGCAATAAAGCGAAAGAGCGCCGAAAAAAGCACAAGTTGAACCATCGATTGGGTTGTACTGGATATGGAGGCTTGCTTTTAAAGAAGGTTTTTCATCAATGAATATTAATGACTATTATTATAACAATATATAGTGTTGAGCTACTTATTCGTCCATTATATTAAACACTAATTTATTCTTCTTCTAACTTCCAGCAAGAAGAACTTGGAGTCAATCTGGAAGACATTGATCGTTGTGATACGTGGTTGCTTGGCAGGAAAAAAAAGATGGGACCTATGATGATGATGTCAAAGAAGTGGCAAATGAAATAGTAAGTGTAACTTTGTTTTTCGTATTTAAAAATGTTAAAGTAGAACTTCTTTAGCAACTAACTTCGTTCCCTCTACCTTTGTTTAGGAGGACCTGAAGCGCAAAGTACAGGAGGGGTCGTTTGTGCCTAGTGGGGATACTGATGTTCTTTCCACTGCTCTTCAGAAAAAACCCAATGGAAGTAGAGTTCAAGGGTTGGGACACTTCATAACCCCAACGCAATACTTCCACAAGCCAAAAGAGACAAGAACTGATCGCGAAAAGGAGCATGAGATGTGTGAGCAAAGCTACAAGATGATGGTTATGAAGTTTGAAGAAATGAGGACACAAGTGTCGCATGCCATAAGTGAAATTGGAAGTTCAAGTATTCCCAACAAATCTCCTATTGTAAAGGTATACACACATTCTTATGTTTTGAGTATTCCCAACAAATTGGCACTTTATAACTCTTTTGTAATGTAATTCTGAGTTTAACAAAGGTTTATTTTCACCATAGACTACATAGTGAAATATAGTTAAATAGACAAACTAGTGCTAAATACACATGGATATGGATATGGTATATATTTCAAAATGATACTAGTAATAAGTAACATATGTGTTTGTATATATTTATATCATTGATAGGCTGCTGAAGAGGTAGATCAACAAAAACTTACTCCGGTGAAGAGACATCGTGTTACTGTCCACAGGAGCTCGCCCCCACAAAGCTCCAAGAATAAGGAGTGGAAGTCAAATGAGAGTGAAGAAGAAGGAGATACAAAAGGAAAGCGAAAGGTATATAAATCCAACGTATTTTTCAATATTATTTGTATCTCTAATATTATCCTGATGTTGATAAACTAATTACAATAGCTTTCCCTAATAAGGCATTAACGGTATGCATATATGGCGTGTATGTTTATGAAGTTATTAACCTATTAATCTTCCGAATTTTGGTTATTAAGGCAACTGAAGTGCCAGAAGAACAAAAGTTGACTCCCCAGAAAAAACATCTTGCAGCAGTTTCAAGAAGGTCCCTGAGATTCATGCAAATGAAGAATCTTCCCGAGGAGAGTGTACTTAGGGCAGCTAACAACACATGCATAAGTGAAGCATCATGAGAACAGGTTGTGAGTGAACTAGGTGCTACTAAAATAAAGGTGCTATATAATCATATTCTTTATAATATAATAATCTGAATTTATGTTTTTTTACATTAAACTATGTGTCATAACTGTGGAAATAAAAGATTATTTAATCATCTTCTAAAATGTATTTGAGGTTGAACCTCCTCACCTCAAGGAAGAAAGCATTCCAAAGATGATTGAAGTTGAAGCTGGAGGTGTTGTAGTTGTTAAAGAACATGGAAGGACTAAGATGAAGTCAAAGCAACCACCGAAAAGGAAACTAATTATGCAAAGAACTACAAGGTTTGCTGCCGAAAAAAGAAAAGAGAAAAGCAATAGCATGAAGATGTTTTCTATGCTAGTTGAAAAATGCTTAGTAGATGGGTACATGGTCGAACATGATGCTGAAATATTCGGGTTTGCAACTAAATCTATTTTCAATAAGCAAGTGTGCGGCCTTGTAATCAACTTTGAGCAGGTGAACAATTCTATTCTAGAAATCTGGTGTAGGTAAGTTTGATTTATATTTTATTTAAGTTATGCATGCTGAAAGTTATCATTAGTGTTTAATTTTGTTTTTTTCATTTATGTTAGTTTTTCAGCTCTATATGAATAAACTTCATGCAATTTTTTTCATTCAATGTGTAGGCACTTATATCATAAGATGCTTGAAAATGGAGGTAATATATCAGTCCAATTTGGCATGTCTGCTGCAATACCGGTACCATTGAAACCCTCAGATGAGTCCATTACAAGGAGGTCTTGCTATATAGCAGATCTTTTGGGTGTTGGTTTGCCTGGACAAATCACACTGATCCCTTATAAAACATGGTAATTACGACGGTTAGAAGTATTACACTAAATCTTTTTTTGCTACTGATTCGTATCCTTTTATTTCAACCTGGAATTTTTTATAATGTGTAGCAATCATTGGGTGTTGGTAGCCATTGATGTTGTGGCATGGACAATGTACTATTTGGACTCAATTGGAGAGAATCCATCAAAAGATCTGTCACTAATTGTGAACCAGTTAAGTTATCCTTGTTTTAGTCATACATTGTGGTACTTAATCACAATGCATGTATGTAGCTATGCCTTTTTTGTAATTGTTTCAGTCAGAGCATTGTGTTGAAAAATAGACACTTTTATAAGTCAATGAAAAAATAATGTACTCATATCTAACTTGTATTTGAATACCAGGGGAGTGAAAATTCATCATGCCTCTGTTTCAAAGAAGAGGTTATCTCTGAATTGGGTTACACTCATGGTATGTTCCTCATTGCCCTAAATTGTATTCGGCGTGTTTACATGATGTTGTATAATGATACTAATCTGTACTTGACACTTATCTAGTGCCCTAAGCAAACTGTTTCTATGGAATGTGGATACTTCTTAATGAAGTACATGAGTGACATTGTCTGTGATGTTAATGTCTTGAAAAAGAATGTGAGTTAAATGTGGATTGTTTGTATATATTTTTTTGGGGGATAACATTAATCGAAGTTTGTATATGTTTTTACTCATTGTATTTTTATACTCTTAGTTCTCAACAATAAAGGACTACTCTGAACAAGACATCTTGCAAGTGTGTGAGGAGTGGGCAACATATGCAACAAAATTGATCCTAAAGTAAGATTTTTTTTCCATATTGTACTTATTTTGTTCATTGTGTTAACATTTTACAGAACCTGGATTAATTTCTTATACTTGTACTTCTTGTTTACAGATGCGGTTGATTGAATGATGGTCTGGAGTTCGTGTACTTTTGGAGTGAAGGAAAATGCAAGAAACACTTTTGGAGTGAAATTCATTGAGAACTTTATGTTGGGTATACTTTTGTAGGTTTTTGTTTTGTGGAATGTAAAACTGTACGTTATGTAATGCCCTGGTTAATTGTGGCGTCATTTTTGCTTGAAACTGAAAGCCTGCGCGGCTGCGCCTATGTTGTTGGGGAAGTTGTAACCTAACATGAAGAATTAACAATGATGAAATCCAAACACTAGTATTATATTGTAATGTTTATTAGTGTGTTTGTATTTAAAGTTGGTTAATTGGTGTATTACTATATTGCTTGAATGCAAACATATAAAGTAATGAAACTAATCTGTCATGAACGCAAGATATAGTGACACTTATAATTAGTGTCGCTAAATGATTTAATGACACTCTGAAAGTGTCACAGAAAAGTGGGGCTAGTGACACCAAACCATTACAAAATTTGAATGTGTATTAGTATCATTATATTTGTTGATGTCGGTGTATCACTAAAAAGCATGATGCATTGGTATCACAAAAATCCTTCTTACGTATATATCACAAATCTCTATGATGTTTATATGTCATAATTTTGTGACACCAAAGTGACTTGTTAACGGTGACACAAAATTTAGCGTCACTAGCCCCACTTTTCTGTGACACTTTCAGAGTGTCACTAAATCGTTTAGTGACACTAATTAAATGTCACTATAAGCCATTTTTTTACTAGTGCGGGACTAACATGATTGTAATATTTTGAGCAAGTAGCAATGGTAGAAGCATGTGAAAGATCCTTCCACACACAACCATGCCATATAAACAAGAAAGTAGCAGAGCTTCAGTTAATCTGTAACTTGGTATTATCCATTATTATATTCACATGTTTCTTATCTATTGCCGATTCATTTTGAAATAAACTCTCCTATAATGCCGAAGAGGCCGGCCATTTGCACCTCTCCTTGGATACTGTTTCTTATTCAGTTTACTTTTACAACATTTATTTATTGAAAGACCTGAGCATGCATTTTTTAAATGCATATATTGCGCATTGTACCTATGAATTCCATAACCAGCACATGCAACCTTAGAACAATGAGAGTTGGGCACATTATTCTAGCTGCCTTAAGCCTATGGTGATGCTAGTGGGTTAGGGCTACTACTACTTTGGTTTGGTTGGTTGAGATTTCTAAGTGAGTCGATAGAAATCTTGGACAATAAGGCGTAACCACCCTGTCCCACAAAACTTCGTCATTTCAAAAAATTTGAACCATGATTTTGATTAGTATTATATTATGGAGGACATTTTTTCTTATATCAGACACAATCTCCTCTAAAACAAAGTTTAACATGCAAGATTAAATTTATGTGAATAAGTCTAGCTAATCCATTCATAAAGTGTGGTTAATATCGACTTGCCTTTTTTATGATTAAAATAAATAGCGTTTACAAAAATATGACTTGTAAGTGAAAGTTTGCAATAACTTTACTGTATAAACTTAAATTTATACACTTATCAAGTGTAATGAACATAACACTATGAGCGAGTTTGGTAACATTGAAATTAGATGAAATGATGGGAGTTTATTAAGTTCTTGCCAAAGTGGCTGGATTTTCCGGATTCTGTTGATTTATGAAAAAAGTTAGGGTTAGAACGTTATTTTATTAATACAATAAAGAAAAAATTATATGAAAATGTAGCTAAATGTTGGTCTACCATAACATTAGCCAATGCAGTTAGAAAAACAATTTCAACCTTATATATTTTGACTTTTATATAATTCGTTGTGTAAAATCAAAAGTTAAGTGTTTGTTCAAAAAGATATTCTAATGACATGGATGATTATTTCAGGGAGCATGGTTGAGTGAGAGAGATTATTGGGCAGGATTAATTGATAAAATATTCTGAGATCAAAATATGAAACCAGATTATTTAGATATTATTTATGAAATTAGAGTTAATTTGTTAATTCAAAATCCACAAAAGATCATATTATTCTAGGACGATGGATGAAAATACCTCAAAGGGGATGAAATTATTTCTAAGACAATTATGTGGCAAATATTTAAAAGTAAAAATCACAAAAAATCAAATTATATTAGAAGTATGAATGTGGGTGTTCTAAACCCAAAAACAGAGTGACCCAACCGACTTTATATATAATAACTTTTCTTATTTTTTTAAACAAATTTTATTTGAATTATTCGGAGTATTTTAAAAGAATCTCTCCTTCTTTTATGGTACCCGTGTTATGCAAACAGAGCTGCCGCAGTACTTATACCGTGGTACCGGTGCATTGTGAGCACCATGCACCATTTGTTATTTTTTATATCTCAATTTCTTAAAATTGTTAATAATTTTTTTATTTTTGATCCGATATTTATAAAATTTATACCATTTTTTTTTATTTTTCATGATCTTTCAAATGAGACCAATATTGCCTATGTAATTTTATTTTTTTACATTCATACATTTTTTTGTAATATATTTTTATATGCATACACTTTTTCTATAATATTTTTTTTATCACTTTTATATGTTTTAGAGGTTTTTAAGATATTGAGTTTGTTTATTTTGCTTCTAGCTTGGAGTTACATTTGATAATATATGAAGTCACATCATCTTATACTCCAGTTACAAGTTATTATGTGTGAGTTACATCTTGTTATGTGTGAGTTACATCTTGCTATACACGAGTTACATACTTTTATGCGAAAGTTACATGTAATTATGTGTGATATCTTTTTACATGCGAAAAATAATTGTAATAATCGGATATCTATAGTTATATACTAAGTGGTATATTATTTCCTTTGCGTTCATATATCTTCCTGGTCCCTGGACTTGATTAAATTTGTTAACGATGATACTATAAATGATTATTCTTCTTTAGATGAATCGAAAATCCAACGGAAAGCATCGATAATACTTGCGGAAGCATGCATTCTGGTGCTAAATAGATTTGTTTATTGTGACTACGAGAGTGAGTTTTACCAGAGGCAATATCAACTGTGTCGAGCCCTGGTTGATATTAAAGAGGCTCGTAGGGATCTGGGAAGCCAGGATTGGCTAGAATGGGTGAAGCACGAACGTGATGAAGCATCTATGTTCATGGATAATTTCGTTAGAAGATGGAAGTCAGCACTGAACTCATCTGCATTCTCTTGGATTTTCCACCCTGACATGCTTAAGGATTTGGAGACTTTTGCCTCTAGTTTATTGAAGGATGACATTCCAGAACCTAAAGAGATCAGAAAAAGAATTCATCTTTTGCTGCATAGAATACAAAGCAAATTGATTCTACAATTTGGGAGTCTCTTGGAAGTCACAACTAATCATGTTTGGGAGGTATATTCCTACTTCCCCATGTTTCCTGACGGCGTGATAATTCTGAATTAATTCTCCATTTGATAATTAACAATGCATCTGCAATTTGACCTAATTTGTGTGGATTGCTTTTCAAGGAACTATCTATAGCACACATAACAATGCCTGTGTGACCTGAGTTGATTATTTCATGAATGCTTTTTAAGGAACTATCTATCTCTGTTATCCATCATTATCAGCACCTTGTTTCCAACTACCAAACTAGTAGTCTTGTTGAGTTCGGTGCCACTAAATTAGTAGTACTAACTAATTGCATAAATTTACTTAATAATTTTCTTCACAATAAACACTATAAGCTCTTCCATAAACAAAAACTTAGCGGCAATGTTTTACAAGGATGCCCATCATGCCCAACCTTCTATAGAAGAAGTAACGAGAAGAAGTTTCTGAGATCATCATCATCATCATCACACATTATTCCACTTCATAAAAAATTCACTAGACTGCTGAGTTGATATATTTGCTGCATTCGTACTCTGATTGATATTGTTAAACCAACTTTCAAATCACGGGACATGCCATGAGGAACTGTCTATCCAATACAATATCTTCTTAAAAACCTGCTTCATCTTTATTAGTCTATGATTGAAAAACCAAAGTTGTGATATCCAGGTGGTGAGCAGTATGACTGATATCCCATTCGTTGAGTTTCTCCCTTCAGTTAGCGCTTTCAAGGAAACAGCCTTCCATAAGGCAAAACAGCAGGTGGTGGATCTTCAAGACAAGGTAATGGATGGAATTTTTGAAGTTCTAGCCTTCCACCACACGAGTTCTATGAGAAAGATCCATGTGACAGCCCACCGCCCAAGGGGATTATTCCTTTTCAAAGTAGGCCAAGAAGATAGGTATTATGTAAGGGCGATTGCCAAGGCTGTGTCTGAACAATGGTATGGAGATGTGAGCAGGTTTGTATACATAAGCATGTCTGAGTATGCAGATGACCCATTGCTGGTGTCAAGCTCTGGTGAACTGTTATCAAGGTAGTATTGTAGTTTGCTTCTTTACACCATTTTTTCCCTCCTTTCAGTCTAATTGGAGCCAGTAATAAGTTCTAGGGAAAACGGATTGTAAGGATTTCATATAGGAAAATTTGAAGGAGTGGAAACTGTGGGGGATAAAATATAGGCTAAAACTTGATGAGTTTATTTTACAAGTTTTTTAATACTCATTGTATTTATGTATGTTAATCATAAAGATTGAAGGGGAGCCTTGGTGCACCAGTTAAGGTGTTGTTGTGTGACCGAGAACTCATAGGTTCAAGTCTTGGGTGCAGGCTCTTGTCGAGTTTTTATGGGGGAAGGTTTGCCCCTTATACACTCTTGTGGTGGGACCCTTCCTGGAACCTCACCTTGCTTTGATCCCTTCATACACCCATCTGCTCTCTTTTATGTTCATCATAAAGGATAAGAAATCTAAATATGCGTAAAAAATATCTTTCGTTTTCCTTGCATATTCAAGGATAACCCAGAAGTCCCAGACATAAGAAAATAATTTTCTGTTACTCTCCTTATCTTTTGTTTTCCTCTCTAAAACCTGTTCCATGAAGCAAACTTACCCTTTCTGTATTTTTGTCTTCTTGTGCAAATTTCTCATTCTCATAAAGTTACATATTCTTTTTTATTATAGGTCAAGTAGTAAAGTTGAGCATTTCAAGAACACTCTATTTGAGTTTGTGAAAAAGCGACCTTATTCGGTGTTTCTTCTAGACAGAGTTGATGAGGCAAGCTTATGTGCGAAGAGTTTGTTCAAGTTTTTATGTAATGAGGATGATGCATCACCCAGTAATGGAGGGGGAGGGTGCTCAGTTGACTTCTCTAAGTCTATTATTTTCATGACCTTGAGTAGACTTGAAGTGTTTTCGAAGGATCATAAATGCTTATATGAAGATGATCCTGAAACTGTGGAGGAGGGGTTCAAGCATGAAATTAATTGTTCACTAATGTCATCAGAAACAATTCTCTCCATGGTACACAACTTAATCATCCGCTTTGAGGTTTTATTTTTTATTTTTTATTTTTAATGGTTTGTGAAATTAAGATGCTTGTTTTTCATCAAAATTTGTAGTCAAAAGAGCTTAATGGGTATGAGCTGTTGGATTCCCTGGTTTTCGATAGAGCTTTTGTTATAGATCCTCTGTCCAATCAGAGGAAGAAGATTGCTTGTAGGATGTTGCTAAGGGAACTTGTTGCAGAAGTTCTTGCAGGAAGATATATTGTACATATCTCAGATGCTGCATTGAATGTGCTGCTATACAATTCAGGAGTGACGTCAATTTCCACTTGCGTAGAGAGACTGAAACAAATGTTGGTTTCAAAAGTTAGGCCCTTGTTGGCGGGTGAAGACGGAGGAGGTTATGATGATTATGCAGTTGTAGTCTATGTGGATGCCCTGGTTGGGATGGGGGAACTGTCTGTTAGGCTTCAAGTGAATAAACGATCTCTTGCTGATTGGTATTTCAAGTTAGAGAACGGCACTTTTGGTAGGCTGCTAGCCAATTTAAGGCTAAAAATGCAATCGGCTTACGATTTTTTTATGGTCCGAGATCTGACACTACGCAAATTGGATAAACCTTACTTCAAACGTGTGTCAAACTGCCTGGTGCGCATTTGCAGATTGCTTTCAACATTTACACCGAGTGTTGATCCAAACTCCGCAGTTGAGAATGTACTCTCTCTCCCTCTCTCTGGTCAGCCAGAGAGTGTCTTATACTTTTAAATTTTTGTTATATTTAGGATGTTTTAATTGGTTTGGTCTGGTCTGTTTGAGTCCGGTCTTATCTGAACTAGTTTGGTATGGAATATCTGTGGTCTTAGTGTTAACTGTGTTAAAGTTTGGTCAGGTCTAGTCTATTGAAGTCTGGTCTGATCTGATCTGGGACTGAAATAAGTCCAAGAAAAAACATCCTTATTTGAATATTAATATGGCCCGGTATTAAACTTTTGACACTGGATGGTCATATGATGATACACAGGTAGTAAGAACAACCGGGGTGTTAGCGTTTCATGGAGCTGAAGAAAAGGAGAAGTTAATGAATGAGGAGAGAAAATTATCAAAGACTGATACCAGCCCTGCAAAAGCAACTCGTATTATAGTTGCTGCTCTAGTAAAGATTATTGATGGTCCATTGGGATTGGCTGTTGATAAGCTCGCTAGTAGTAGAAATTACCTATTTCTATGCCTGCATGATGATGCTAAGAGGGAATTGATTGAATGCCTAACTGATTCTTTAAAATCTTATACTGGAGACTCTTTGTTTACATATGTCAAGTTGACGAATGATTGCAGAGGTGAAGAAGTGAAGAAGTTGCTGATTGAAAAAGTAAAGGGGGGATGTTATTGTGTTTTCATGCTTGATGAAGTAGAACATGCTGATGAGGTCCTTTATAGTAGCCTTCTAGAGATTTTTGATGAGGGTACTCTATACAGCGGTGAAGAAGGTTTCACTGTTGACTTCCGGAAAGCTATTGTTATCCTTACATCAAAGGTTGCCAATGAACGTGCTATCAACAATCTCTTGTGTGGTCAACCGGGTGATTCACCTCATATGAGTATGATGAAGCAGGTATGTCATTTATAATATGCGTTTCCGGAAACATTGTCATCTTATTTGTATGGCACACATTTAGTTTTGTTTTGTTCTGGCAGTTGGTGGATAGCATAGTACGGATTGTGCTAGTATATTGATGAGAATGGGTTGTATTAGCGGTTTGACTATCAACTAGTAATATCGGGTTTTAGAAAGATATTTCTATATGGGTTTATATATTGAACAGCTCTTTGTTTTCTTTCAAATAATTCATACTCCCTCCGTCCCATTGGACTTTGCCATCTTTCCTTTTTTGGTTGTCCCAAAAAACTTTGCCACTTTCCCATTAAAGTAACTATTTTGAGGTTCTACTCATTTCTCTCTCCTCTTCACAAACTTCAACCACACAATTTTTACTATTCTTATTTCTCACCTAACTTAAGTAGTGCAAAGTCCATTGGGACGGAGGTAATATAATATTTGTGTTGTACATTATTTGTTTATTTACCATGTGTACTTAATAATTTATATATTGTTGTCAGATTACTACTTTCTGCTTGGTATACTTGCACAGGGTATTATTGATTAATTAAGTAATTAATTAATACCATTATTTTTATTTTCAATAATTATTGAGTAGTTATCTAAGATGGTAAGATTAGAGGATTCATTGGCATCAATAAGCCAAGCCAATAAAATGTTTGCAAAAAATAAGTGATAAGCTGCCCACAGAATACCCCTGTTCAGTGTTGTGTTGTATTTCCAAACTGCAACTTCATGTGGTATTTTCATTTCAATGAGATGAAGAATAGAAGATTCATGACGGGATGGAGACACTGGATTGTGTTAAGGGCCTTGGTACAAGATCTAGTCAAAGGCCGTTGATGATGAACAGCAGGATTTGAAGCTATGGCGTTGGAATAAAAACCCCAAGTAACTTTCTGCCCTAGTCAAGAAAGGTGATCTCAATCTGTGGTTCCACCAGCAAATTAAGAGATCAAATATTCCAAATTTGACATTTTATTCAAACTTATGACCCTAAATAGGTAGAAATTAGTGTCCTAAACAATAATAGGAACTGGATTGAAATTTCTACAAACTTGTTAATGAGAGATTGTCTAAAATAAGGAAAGCTTAATAAAAGGAAACAACTAGAAAAAGGAAAGCTGCGTAGTATGTAAAAAGGAAACAACTAGAATAAGTAAAGGGGAATCTTTAGGACAACATGTGGATCAATTAATTTAGCCCCTTTTGTGCGCCACTGGTACACGTGACCAAAACTCCGTGAATCAGATTGTCATTACAGGGTGTTTAGAGGTAGATGTATCTCCTTGAATGTCTGAATCCCTAAAGCAAATAGATGTTTTGGTTAAAAAAATTACACTGTTGAGGAAAGATGTATGACGACCGAGACTTGAGATTTTCTAATAATTGTTGTCATCGATAATGAGTTGCACATTTATTTGTTGACTCTTGTGCTGATGTTCTACTTGGGGTGGGAGTGTTAAGGCAAAGCATGAGTTGTTTGTGTCTTGATATTTAACAGCTGGAAAGATTTTACTCCTCAGACATTGTTTTTGGGATGAGTGATGACTAATGAAGTATGGTTGTTTAGAAAATAACTTGCAGAATACCGTTTTGATGTTTTCCCCTACTTTTGCAGAATGGGAAGCGAGCCAGGACCGAGTTGCTTTGCTGTGATAAAATAATTCGTGGATGTTGTTTGGTAACATTATCAGATTTTCTTGGCTCTTTTTCTTTTCCTAAACCACATGGCTAACTTCATGTTTTGTAATTTCTGAATTACAAAAATCTTGCTCTTAAATATTAACTTGTCCTTTTGATTTTTCTTACATGGCAGGGTGTTAAGCAATTTAGGCACGAGTTGCTTCACCGGGTAGATGAAATAATTCTCCTAAATCCTATTTCACCCGAATATGGTGAAATTTGCAGACTCTCTAAATGCAGTGTCGGGTCTGTAACACATGCCTCTGAAGCGGTTTCGTCCCTGTTCCTCATTAAAATGTTTGTGGATAATGGTAAGCTCTAGGTAAAAGTTAGGAGCTCGGTTAGTTACTGAATTTAAGTGTGACTAGGCTCTAATTCTGAGGTGTTTGTTTTATAGCACGGAAATGACAAATGCAAGAAACAAGAGTTTACAAAATATAGGATAGGAGATGTGGGGGGAATTCATAAATATTAAAGTTTCAGGATATATTTATTAATCAATATTTTGTCAAAAAAATTATTTATCGATATATTTCATATTTAGAAATTAATACTCCCTATGTCCCAAAAAATTCTTCCCACATTGACTTGCCACGCAAATTAAGGAAGTTAGAGTAGAGTGGAAATGCATGGTTGTAATTGTGTAAGAAAAAGGTAAGATGAATGTGAGCCACACAAATTGTCAAAAATGGTAAGTGGGAAGAATATTTTTAGACGACCCGAAAAGGAAAATTGGAAGAATTTTATGGGACTGAGGGAGTACATATTATATAAATTTCTAGCGATACACTGACTTTATGAAACTTCACAATGTCACTATGGAGAAGCGTCATTAAAGTCTGCTAAAAAGTTCTCATACAGACACTACTTTCCACCATGTTTTTCCATAAGAAAGAATATCAACAGAACCCATACATGACTTTCTGTTTCCTTTGTTGGCAACTTGGCAATGCGATTCTTCCGCAGGTCGATGCTTAAATACTGCATTTCTTGATCAGTTGGAGGATATACCCACGAGATTCCATTTGATTCGGGAGGTTGGAGATACTGTTATGTGTTAAGGACTCACAAGGCAAGATATGCGTTTTTTTGTCTACATTATTACGCGGCATGAATTTACTTATTGGGTAACGACAAATTGAAACATTCCAGCTCTAAATGTGTACTCGACATGTAAGAACGTGCATAAGAAATGTTTTCATGCAGTTCTCCACTAATATACTAGTATTTATTATCACGTACGGTTAGAGTGTATTGATTCAAGTACAATGTGTTTTATCCTTGAATTAATAAATTCTTACGCTATTCCTGTTGTTAATGAACTAGACGTAGTACCCGTGCGATGCACATGCATCTAGAATGTTTTCATGCAGTTCTCCACTAATATACTAGTATTTATTATCACGTACGGTTAGAGTGTATTGATTCAAGTACAATGTGTTTTATCCTTGAATTAATAAATTCTTACGCTATTCCTGTTGTTAATGAACTAGACGTAGTACCCGTGCGATGCACATGCATCTAGAATATAATACTACATATTTTTCAGCGTGGTAATGCACATTCTTCCACTAATGACTGTTACTAATAATTCTTCCAGTAGTATGCAGACAGATAATGATCAGATTGATCACAATTCTTCAAGGAAATCTACCAGAGTAAGATCTTTTCCTATTCATTTAAAGGACTTTGAATATAATTTACCTACTTCTATTATTCCTAATGTCTCTGAGCCCTCTTGTAACTTTGTTAGGTATCCTATACAAAATTATATTTCTTACAACAATTTAAGCTCTTCTCATCACTGTTTTACTGCATCTCTTTCAAATATTATTGAACCCATTATTATAAACAAGCCATTAAGTCTTCTGATTGGAAAAATTCCATGAATACTGGAATTAAAGCTCTTGAAGATAATAACACCTGGATTCTTGTTGATCTTCCTAAAGATCAACATATTATTGGTTGTAAATGGGTTTTTATAACTAAACTTAAATCTGATGGTTCTTTGGATAGGTATAAAGCCAGAGTAGTGGCTAAGGGCTATACTCAAGAATAAGGCCTTGACTATTTTGATACTTTTTCTCCGGTTGTTAAATTAACCACTGTCAGAATTCTTTTAGCTGTTGCTAGTGCTAAACATTGGTATTTACATCAATTAGATGTAAATAATGCTTTTTTACATGGAGATTTAAATGAAACAATTTATATGCAACCTCCTCCTAGTTACTTAGGTGATAATGATCATAGAGTTTGTAAACTTCTTAAAAGTTTATATGGTTTAAAACAAGCCTCTAGACAATGGTTTTTTTAAACTTTCTGAATCTCTAAAATCTTTTGGTTATAAACAACCTGAAGTTGATTTTTCCCTTTTCACTAAAACCAATAATAATTCTTTTACTGTGATATTGCTTTATGTTGATGATCTTATTCTTGCAGGTAATGATATGAATGAAATTACTTCTTTCAAGTCCTATTTACATCATAAATTTACCATTAAAGATCTTGGTGAGCTAAAATACATACTAGGTATAGAAATTGCTAGATCTGAAACTGGACTGGTTTTAAATCAAAGAAAATACACCCTTGATATTCTTTCTGATTTTGGCAATCTTACTTCTAAACCTTCTTCTACACCTATGGATTCCAAAATAAAACTTTCAAAAATGATGGTACTCTTTTAACAGACCTTAAAAGCTATAGAACATTAATAGGCAGATTACTTTATCTTACTGTATCAAGGTCTGACATTGCTTATTTTGTCCAAACTTTTAGCCATTTTCTTTCTTGTCCTCCTAATATTCATATGATTGTTGCACATAGGGTATTAAGATGTCTCAAAAGTTCTCCAGGAAAAGATCTGTTCTATCCCTCTAAATCTACTTTTCATATTCAAGCTTACATTGATTCTGATTGGGATTCATGTATTGATACTAGAAGAAGTATATATGGTTATTGTTTTTATTTAGGTGAATCATTAATTTCTTGAAAATCCAAGAAACAATCTGTTGTCAGTAGATCTTCTACTGAAGCAGAGTATAGGGCTGCAGCTAATGCAGTTTGTGAAGCTCAATGGCTCACTTACATTTTTCAAGATTTAAAAATTCCCTTTTCCCTACCTATTACTCTTTATACAGATAACAAATCCACTTACTATCTTGCACATAATCCTATTCAACATCAAAGAACTAAACACATTGAATTAGATTGCCATTTAATAAGAGAAAAAATTAATTCAGGTCTCATTTATCTTACACATTCCTAACAACTGTCAATTTGCAGATATATACACCAAACCTCTTGGAAATTCACTCTTCAATCAATTTGCAATCAAGATAAACCTGTTGGACATCCATGCTCATCTTGAGGGGGCGTCAAAAGAATAAAAGATTGGACTGTTTTATTCTGTATTGTGCCTGTTATTTTAACCCATCTTATATTTTACATTAGAGTAGTCTTTTAGGCCTTTAGTATATATACTGTATTTCCAAACCTAATCCCTAAGAATTCATTCGTTCATCTTCTTCATTTGAGATTACTGCTTCCGCGCTCTCTTCTATCAAATAGACAAATACTCTTTAAATTCACATTTACTCAAGCTACATCTGGGGATATGAGAACTTTTGAGTGGAAATGAATTCTTTGGTTGCGTTGAGCTACATCGCTGAAGAGGGAAATGGAAGATGGGAGGATGCAATAAAGGAAATGTTACTCCTTTCGAATAGGAAAATGGTTTCTTTGACGCAGGTATGACGTGAAGGAAATTGAACGCCCCATCATTTGGGAGTTCAATCTCCGGTCCAGCCTATTCCTTTTAATTCTAGTCCTGTTAGAAAAGCTTATCTTATAGATTTTTTGGAATTCCTTCTTTTAGATTTAATTATTAAATATATCATTTCTGATTGTATTTTGAGAGGTACGCCCTTTCTGGAGTGGTTTCGATATACCTGCTGCCCCTTTTGTAATTATTTTATTTTATCAAAATCCGACAAATGTTCCTGACATTTACCCGGCCTACCGATGGGTGGTTTGCCTATCGAGTAAAGGAAAAGATCCAAACGATGCCTTCCTCCGAATAGGAGCAAAATACATTTTCTCCAAAGTCCAAACTAATGTTAATAGATTAAATAATATTTATATGGCCACATCTCGAAATAGTTATTATATAGCAATGTAATTAGCCTTTATAAGCATTGAGTAAATTTCATAGTACGGGTTAAATATAACTTCTCAAAAATACTTCTTTAAAATTCTTATATATAGTCCAAATAACATTTATAGCTTAAAATAACATTTTTTGAAATACTTAGCCTTTATTATTCATACTACATGTATAATCTGTATACATGAAACATCCTTTAAAACACAACTCATATTTGTAAATTCAAATATTCATATTTATCAAACCTAAGTAAAATTATAGGTTTGGTGAAAAATAAAAGTTGCATAACTTATATACGAAAATCAGTTTCAATAAAGATATTTCTCAAAGTAAATATTTCTTTCAAAGTTGCAAGTGTATTATTTTCAAAAGGTGATTCTCCAAACAAGTATTTTAACAACTCATACGAGTAAGCAAGGTACTAAAACAATAACTCCTTCAAACAAATACTTTAACAGCTCTTACGAGTAAATTATTAAAACATGTTATTCTCTTTGATTTTTATGTACAATTTTAATTGGTTTAAAAGACTGCATATATTAATAGTGCAATAATTAGAATTAATTATTAGTTAGTTTCCTTATTGTACTTAGATACTTATTTCATATAAATATACTCTCAGGGCTACCAGTCTGGTTAAGCATGTTTATTATTCTCACATGGTATCAAGACCCTAGGTTTTTAACCTATTTTTTTTCCTTCTCTATGGCCGCCGAACACCCCACCACCGTTCCACTCACGGTGGCAGCATCGCACAGCACCACCGCACCACCTCTCACGGCGGCGGTCTCCTCCGTAACGATGCCGGCCGCCTTTTCCACATCCTCTGCACCGGCTTCTTTAAGTTTTGGCTCAACCTCCGCAGTTTTGCAGCCTTCCTTCGTAGCGCCATTCCCGATGAGCAGCTCGTCCCTAGATCCGAATACATGGGTGCCGCCGGTTTTTGACTGGTCTTCTCCAGCCCGCGGTAGTCGCATGCCAGATCCAACGTCGGTTCCGGCATCGCCCTCACGCCTACAATTTTGCGGCCCCACTTTTGTCGGTGCGCAGGGAGTAGCGCCGCTAGCAACTGCTCCAGTGCACCGTCGGCCAGCAGAGGCTCCGGTCTCCTCTTTGGAGGCTATTGCAAAAGCTATGGGTTTTTCGACTTCCAATGTTACTCATATTGTCACCACAAAGCTTGATGCGGTTGAAGATTATCTTCCTTGGCGCACACAATTTGAGTCATTCCTAGTCTCACACGGCTTAATGGGTATTCTTGATGGTACGATTACTGCTCCTCAATATATTTTTGATAATCTTCTTCGAGAGATTGTGAACAACGAGTATTATTATTGGTTAAAACTAAATCAAACAGTTTGTTCTTGGCTGTTTGCTACTTTATCTCGTGATATACTTGTTGAGGTTCACACTCTCCAGACCTCTGCTACCATCTGGGATCGTCTAGAGTCTCGATTTATGGCTGCTAGTATGGCTCGTTCAATGGAATTAAAAGGAATGTTCTCAGGTTCCAAAAAGAAAGAAAATCAGTCCATTGAACAGTACATGCGTGAAATTCAAAAAATTGTGGATGCCCTAGCCACAATTAATTCCCCGGTGTCTATGAAAGATCTACTTGAACAAACTCTTTTGGGACTTGGTCCGGATTATGAGTCCATCATTACTACCTTGACTACTTTTCCTGAGGGTCTCACTTTTGACAAATTACGGACCAAGCTCATGGAGCAAGAGAACCGCCTACGCTACCTTCGTGCTCAAGAAACCACGCCCCAACCTGCGGCGTTTGCTACTCAGCCCGCGGCTCCGGCGGCAGCACCTGCACCTGGGGGAGATCCTCGCGGCAGCAATTTCTTTAATCGCGGCTGAGGTCGCCGCGGCGGACGAGGACGGGGGTTGCGAGGACGCGGCCGAGGATATGGACAGCAGCAGCACCTGTACAGTGCTCCAGGTTACGGCCAGCAGGGCGCCTACCATCAGCCATGACCCGGACAACCTCTAGCCGGGTATTTTCAGCAGGGTTATTACCCGGGTTCGCCAGCTCCTACACGACCAGGTTCAGTTATATGTACTAACCATGGTTATGCAGGCTCACCGTGAGTAGATGGACAATTTTGTTCCATTCCCCCACTGGTTGTTTGTCAAATTTGCTATTCTCCAGGTCATTCTGCAGTGTCTTGTCCGTCCCGTTTTAATCAGCCTACTGCTTCAGCACTTGCTGCACCCATGGGTGACCCAAATGACGCTGTCTGGTTTCCAGACTCCGGTGCTTCTGCGCATATGACCCCTCAGGAAGGTAATTTAGTTAATAAGTCTATTTATTCCGGACCTCTTAATGTTACTGTTGCAAATGGCACTGTTTTACCCATTAAAAATATTGGTGATATGTCTGTTAATTCTCTTTCAAGGCTTCTCCATTTAAAATCTGTTTACCATGTTCCAAAAATTAAATATAATTTATTATTCATTCAAAAATTGTGTTCTGACAATAATTGCATGGTTATTTTTGACAATATTTCTGTTTTGCTAAAGGACAAAACCACGGGGGGAATCCTTCTTCAAGCTTCCAGTGGCGGCAGTCTCTATCCCATTCGTTTGTCTTCTTCCCCGACTCTGGCTCTTGCTTCTAGTGTGGCGAATGGACCTCTGTGGTATCGCCGTCTCGGACACCGTGGTAGTAGAGTTTTAGATGGTCTTAGAAAATCTGGTCAAATTTGTTGTGTGTCCTCTTTTACTCATGATTGTTCTTCGTGTCAATTGGGTAAATCTCAGAGATTACCCTTTCAAGATGTTTGTCATTATGTTACTAAACCATTATTTTTAATAAATTCAGATGTGTGGCAATCTCCAGTTTTATCTTCTTCTGGTTTCAAGTATTATGTTTCCTTTATTGATGATTTTTCCCGTTTTACTTGGATCTACCCATTGCGCCGTAAAAGTGAAGTCTTTGAGCATTTTAAATCATTTAAGTGTCTGGTGGAATATTTACTTGATCATAAAATTAAAATTTTTCAGAGTGATGGAGGGGGTGAATTTGATAATTTAAGTATGCGGTCATTTTTTAGTAATAATGACATTCTTTTTCGCAAATCATGTCCTGACACACCTCAACAGAATGGTTTAGCTGAACGAAAACATCGTCATATACTTGAATTGGCTAGATCCATGCTTATTGATGCTGGTCTACCAGCCAGTTTTTGGGTTGAGGCTATTTTGACTGCTACTTATATTATCAATCGTCTCCCTTCCACTAAATTCACTAGTTTTTCTCCATATAGAAAATTATTTCACCGGACCTCTGATTTCTCTTTTATGCGTGTGTTTGGTTGTGCCTGTTATCCAAATTTTCCTGCCACTTCTGCAAATAAGCTATCTCCTCGTTCCGTTCAATGTGTATTTCTGGGGTATGCGTCTGAATATAAAGGATATCATTGTTTGGACCCGAAAACTGGTAGAATTTATATTAGTTGCAATGTTAGGTTTCATGAAAATATTTTTCCATACTCCCAGTTAGTGTCCTCTCCTTGCTTTGAGTCTACCATTATACAGCCGCACCCACTGTCGTTTTCCCGGACTTCTTCTGAGTCTTCAGCTGCTACTGGTTCACCCATGACCCCTGTGAATTTTTCCTTGGATTTGCGTTTACCATCACCGCCGTCAAGCTCACCGCCGGTAGAGCACCCGTCACTCCAGCCGGCTGTTTCTCCGGTGTCCTCCACTACGGACATCCCAGCTGGCCGCAATTCTCCGAGTCCGGGTTCCCCATCTACTGACTCGTCGGATTCGGTGGCCTCGACCGAGGGGGTGGTGGCTGATGATCGGAGTTCTGGTAATTCCCTACATGAAAATATACATCCCATGCAAACACGCTCTATATCAGGAATTTTTAAACCCAAAACTATTTTTAATCTAAACATTGCGGTTTTGGTTCCTGATCCAACTTGTTTTTCTATGGCTAATAATTAATAAAGATATTAAATGGAGAGTGGCTATGACTGAAGAATTTAATGCACTTATCACTAATAAAACGTGGGATCTAGTACCGTTTGACTCTAGCAAAAATTTGGTTGGGTCTAAATGGATTTATAAAACTAAATATCGGCCCGATGGCTCTATTGAACGACATAAAGCACGTCTGGTTGCCCAAGGGTTTAAACAGCAAGCTGGAGTGGATTTCTCTGAAACCTTTAGTCCTGTTGTTAAACCCACCACTGTACGCATTGTTCTTACATTAGCTGTTTCTTTTAAATGGCCTATTCGTCAGTTAGATGTTAAAAATGCATTTCTTCATGGTCATCTCACAGATGAGGTTTACATGCGTCAACCACCTGAGTTTGTTCATCCTCAATTTCCTAATCATATTTGTCGCTTGCGCAAGGCCATTTATGGTCTCAAACAGGCTCCCCGGGCATGGTTTCATCGTTTCAGTAGTTTTCTTCTCACTCATGGATTTGTTTGTAGTCGTGCTGATAATTCATTGTTTATTTTTCGTCAGGATACACATATCATCTATTTGCTCCTATATGTGGATGACATTATTATTACTAGCAGTTCCTCTACTCTTATTAGTAATTTTTTTTCTCTCCTAGGGAAATATTTTGCTATGAAAGATTTAGGGGATATTCATTTTTTCTTGGGGGTTCAGACTGTGCACAATTCTTCAGGTTTATTTTTGTCTCAGGCCAAATATGTATCTGATCTTCTCATCCGTTTTCATCTTCATACACTTAAATCTGTTCGCACGCCATTACTGACTAGAACCAAGCTAATGGTGAGTTACTTGCTGATCCTACCGAGTATCGTAGCATGGTAGGTGCATTGCAGTATAACTATGACTAGACCTGATATTACATATGCTGTTCACTTGGTATCTCAATTTATGCATGCTCCCCGTACCTCACATATGTTGGCTGTTAAGAGAATTTTCAGGTACTTATAGGGCACTAAAACCTATGGGTTACATCTTCAACCATCGCCACTCCCACACCCAGTTCTGGCCTACTCTGATGCAGATTGGGCTGGTTGTCCTGATAACAGTCGTTCCACGTCTGGATATGCTGTTTTTCTTGGTCCTAATTTGATTTCCTGGCGGTCCAAGAAACAACCTACTGTCTCCCGCTCATCGACTGAAGCTGAGTATAGAGCCATTGCATACACAGTTCAGGATACATTACACATTCGGTCCATTTTGTTTGAGCTCGGTTTTCCTCTTTCTCGTCCGGTTCGCTTGTTATGTGATAATGTATCTGCTTCATATTTATATGTCAATCCCATTCAGCATGCTCGCAGTAAGCACATTGATATTGATTATCATTTTGTTCGTGAACGAGTGGCCCATGGAGATCTCCTGGTGCAGTAACTATGTTCCTACGAAGTTTCAGCTGGTTGACATCTTCACCAAGAGTTTAGCTCCTCAGCAGTTTTTGTTTTTACGAGACAATCTATACGTAGTTCCTCCTGCATAGATTGAGGGGGTGTAATAGTGCAATAATTAGAATTAATTATTAGTTAGTTTCCTTATTGTACTTGGATACTTATTTCATATAAATATACTCTCAGGACCACCAGTCTGGTGTTATTCCTTTGCTTTGGCATCAGAAGAAGGCATCGATATAGCGCATCTACCATATCGAAAAATACCAGATTTATCGAAACTTTAGGTATATCAACATTTTCGGTATGATATGATATTGTACTGAATTACTTCAGTATGGTACCACTATACCGTTATACCGAAAATCCTATTAAAATATCTTTTTAAAATTACAAGAAATGACTAAATACACAACATCGTATTAGGGATAAATGATTTTATATCTATGTTTGAATAATTTTCTTCTTTGTTAGAGACCACTATTGATTAAATTATATCTATATTGCCTTAATTATTTTCAATATTGAATATGACATCAATAGATTATTATTTGTAAGTTATAACATTTAAATAATGAACTAAATATATCGCTACTAACACTGATTTTATATATTTTTTAATCTATAATAATTTATTGTATTGAGAGACACGTATGACAATTTACCGACATCGTACCATTACCGAAACGAAACTTCGGTATACCCAAATGAAACTTCGGTATACCTAAACGAAACTTTGGTATACCAAAATGTAGTATAGCGAAATTTCTGTAACATAATAGTTTTGGTATGACAGAAAATATTGGTAGTCCAATATTCAATTTATTCTGCTCATCTAAACTTACGGCCTAAACAAATACCTGTCGTAGGTGTGGTCTCAATGCTATAAATAACAATCCAGTACATGGTTACTCAACTTTTTGAAAATTTGATTATATTCTCTCTCATTAGTACTCTATATCACCACAATCAATCGCAATTCTGCCTTCTCCATTCTATATACTCTGCACAAAAGATGAAGTCTCCTCTGGTTTCTTCAGAAACCAAAAAGGAAGACCAACAAACCCATCTCGCCCTTGCTGCAAAAGAAGCAAAATGCTTATCCAACATAGCTTTCCCCATGATCTTCACCGCCCTTCTTCTCTACTCCCGCTCCATGATCTCCATGCTCTTCCTCGGCCGCCTCGGTGATCTCTCGTTAGCGGGCGGTTCTCTCGCCATAGGCTTCGCAAACATTACCGGCTACTCCATCCTCTCCGGCCTAGCTATGGGTATGGAGCCTATTTGCGGCCAAGCCTTTGGCGCGAAGAGGTTTAAGCTGATTGAGCTTACTTTACAAAGGACCATCATTTTGTTACTCCTTGCATCCATCCCCATTGCCTTTCTATGGTGTAACATGGAGAAGGTGTTAATTTTGTGCGGCCAAGATAGAGATATCTCAAAGGAAGCTCAATCTTATATTCTCTATTCCCTCCCTGATCTTGTGGCTCTTTCCTTTCTTCACCCCTTGCGAATTTATCTACGTTCCCAGTCAGTGACTATTCCCCTAACTTACTGTGCAGCCTTCGCGACCCTTATCCACGCCCCGATCAACTATGTCCTAGTTTCCGTTCTGGGTCTTGGGATCAGGGGCGTGGCATTGGGTAGCGTTTGGTGTAACTTCAACCTCGTGGGCTCCCTGATCTCTTACGTGGCCGTGGCCGGGATTTACAAAAAGCATTTCAGAAAAGGAGGTATCGATTGTACAACACTTATGAAAGGGTATAAGTCATTGTTGAATTTGGCTGTCCCGAGTTGCATTAGTGTGTGTTTGGAATGGTGGTGGTACGAGATGATGACCTTGTTTTGTGGGGTTTTGGTTAATCCAAGAATCACGGTGGCTTCTATGGGGATTTTGATCCAAACGACCTCTTTGATTTACATTTTCCCGTCTTCTCTGAGCTTTGGAGTGTCCACAAGAGTAGGGAACGAGCTAGGAGCCGGGCGGCCGGAAAGGGCGAGACTGGCCGCCGTTCTTGGACTCTGCGGGAGCTTTATATGCGGGATAGCCGCGCTGACGTTTGGGGTTTTTGTCAGGAACATTTGGGGCGGGATTTTCACGCAAGACCCGGAAATCATAGCGTTGACGGCGTCGGTTTTGCCGATCATTGGGCTGTGCGAGCTCGGAAACTGCCCGCAGACCACCGGGTGCGGCGCGTTGAGAGGGACGGCAAGGCCGAAGCTGGCGGCGAATATAAATTTGGGTTGTTTTTACCTCGTCGGAATGCCGGTGGCTGTGTGGCTGGGTTTTTTCGCCGGTTTCGATTTTCAAGGGCTTTGGATCGGATTACTGGCGGCGCAGGTTTCCTGTGCTTTGACCATGTTGCTGGTTTTGGGGAGGACCGATTGGGAAGAGCAAGCCAGGAGGGCCAAGGAGCTAACGGCCACCATCTCCACCAGCGACCACGGCGGCGATGATGACGACGACGATGACTCGCCGGAGTATCAAAAGATTGGAAGTTCGCCAATCTGATTCAATTTTGGCTAAACAAGTTAGGGTGTGTTTGGCCAAAATGCACCGTTAATTCCGAGGTGGCCAAAATTTCTTCACTCATTTTCCATCCTGGGTACCTGTGGACCAAACAAGTCGTTAGTGCTTGGCGCCGAAACGTGATGAGGAGGGGAGATGAAAAGATCCATATTAGTACGTCTCCAACAAAATCCTTTTTAGCAATTGGTGTCTAACGGATGAGTCAATGCAATTTGTAATGTTTTCATTGACCAATTTTTTAGTCAGACTGAACATTGGTGAAATACGGAGTTTTAGATGACAATTGGTGTATTTAAAACGTGATTAATTATTTCGTTAATTATTATTTGTAACATTAACTTTTTTTCCTTTCATGTTAAATGGAACAACGCCCACAACATAAGCGTCCCCCATTTTCATTAATCATTATTCATTGATTGTTAAATGTTAATACCAGGAGCGGATCCAGAAATCCTAATAGTAATTGTCCTAAGTTGGACTAAAACATTATAAAAATTCATTAATAGGACCTTAAGTTTTTTATTCCTTAAATAGGATTATATTAGTCATATTTGAAAACATAGTAAAATTACATACCATTAATACTCTTCTTCTAATTAATCCCTAGAATTCTACTCCGTATATTTCTATCTTAACCCCTTCTCTCTCTTGCACACATCTATCGGTTATCTTCCTGCGCATAGAAATCGAACGACTTCTCCCTACGGCCTTCTCTCTGCGCGCGGCCACGTACACCGCCGCTAACCATCCCGCTTCACGCCCCTGCCATCACACCGACTCCACCACATGCCATCACATGTTTCTTCTCTTCTTCCTCCTCCTCTTCCTACTCCTTCTTCCTTTTCTTCTTCTCCGATCTACTCCTCCTCCTATTTCTCTATTTTTCTGAGATTTGACCTTGAATTTTTCTGATTTTCCTCATATTCTTCTGTTTTTCTGGAATTTGACAATGATTTTGCCAAATTTAGGAATTCTATTTTGAATTTATTGTATTTTTAGATTTCTGATTTCTTAGTTTTTTAATAGTTCTGATTTTCCAAAAGTTTGGATGATGGTTTCAGATTTTGCCAAGTTTATGGCAGAAATGTGTACACTGACAGTCATATTATGGCAAAAACGTTTTTGTGTAAATCAAATCTTCTATTTTTGTCAATAGCTTTGTATTTTTAATTTTTTATTGTGTTAAAGTGCTTATTTCATTTTAAAATTTTGAATTTGGGAATATTGACTTCATATTTTTGCCAAGTTTATGACATTTTTGTATTAAGCTTCCGGCATAAATTTGCCAATTTTATGGGAGATATGAAAAATCCTATTCATGGCAGATTTTAAATTCTCTTCAATACTAAATCTGCCAAACTAATGGCAGATGTAAAGCGTCAAGGTTGTGACGATGACGATGACGGTGCTTGGAGGTGGAGCTAGCGGTGGTGCACCAGAGATGACAAATGATGGTGATAGGGACGGATTGCATCGTTGGTTGGGCGACGCCACCCGGCGGTGATGGATGGTGGCACCGGTGAGGAGGCGACGTATGGCGGCGTTGGTGGGGGTGAAACAGTAGACCTCTCCGACGAGGACGACGACAGCATGAGGCGATGTCGGCAACAGGGGGTGACGATGGTGGCAGTCCAATTGCAAGCATTGAAATTTTTAGGGTTTTAGCAATTTTCATTTTTTACATATTTAATTATTGATATAAAATTTCATTAAGGGCATAATTGTACAAGAAGGTGGTTTTAAGTCCTATGAAACATAATTTCGAATGAAAGACCTATTTGGACAATTATCTTCTATTTTAGTCCCATTTAGGGAATTAGCTCAAATCCTAACCATTGGGGGCACCATTAAGTAAGAGTGAAAAAAAATTGAATAATCATATAATACGTATAAATTATCTTCAAAAGATGAAATAGTCAAATATTAGGAAGACGAAAAATGTTACATGTTACAAATGTTCACGACGAGTTTTCATTTTTTGAAAATGGTCCATCACGATTTCGTTTGTAATGGTATCAAGTACGTGTTAGGATGTTTTTACTTGGACTGTTCAATCTTAGACCAAACTAGATCAGATCAGATCTTACCAGATCAGATTTGGATAATTATAAAATACACAAAGACAAGACATTTACCAAATCAAACCAGACAATAAAATTTCATTCCAAATAAAAACATCTTGATTCACTCGGACCAATCAATCTATGTTTTTACGTTGACTTATTTTAATTTTAGACTGTTTAGAATAAACCAGAATAGACCAAACTAGACTTTAATAGACCATATTTTGACAGCTGTAGAATACACATACACTAGGCATTTTCTAGACCAATCCAGATCATACCAGACTAAACTTAAACAAATCAAATCATATCAGATACGTCCAAAAAAAATTAGCCCAATTAAAAACATCTTAATCTCTGCTTAAAATAAATGCATTGGAGTGGTTCATAAATTAGAACAATTCATTGTTTTTCTATAATATTACTAACCAAACATTATGGATAAAACTATGACTAAGTCACTTTTAGTGACTGCATGCATACTTGTGCAGTCACTATATGTAAATTTTAAATACAACTATGGTCATTAAAAGTTATTAAATCATATTTGTATCTACTACTCCTTCCGTCCCAAAAATAATTTCACACTTCGTTTTCCACACATATTATGAAAATAAATTTACTGGGGGTAAATTTTACTGTTTTGACACTGTTTGGGCATTGTTTAGCACTGTTTGACACTGGTAAGCACGGTTTTGATGTAAATAATTTGCCAAATAAGGAAGTGGGAAGAAGTGTGAAGTTAATTTTGGGACATCCATTTAATGAAAGTGGGAAGTTGTTTTTGGACGGAGGGAGTACTAGCCTATTGTTTTGGTCACATATAAGGAATTACATCTTGATGTATAAATACATGTTTGTATGTTCATTGGCCATTTATCAATGCACAATTTCTCCGAACTATAAATATATAATGTTTACTAGATGTGTACAATGTTTTCTGAGTTTATTTGATCGGCTAGTAATCCAATAATACATCAAGTGCTATTTGCTACGTACTATAGTACTCTTTCATGTATAGTTTTAAATTCGATAGTTTAATATTCCACATGTTCATTGTTCATTTATTACCCACCGCTAACTTTCTTATAATTATTACAAATTAAATGATCAATCGTGATTGTGTCAAAGCTAAAAGATACACTCACACACACTATTATTGTATTGATTGGGATAATTAAGTTATAACACTAATTTTGTATAGAGCTTTCGGTGTTAAATTGTAGAAAATCATTCAAACAAAGAGAGACAGTTCATTTGAATAAAATTTATGTGACTATCTATTATGCCACATGTACACCGTACACATTGTAGTATTGTGGATGCTATTAAACATGACTTCTAAACGTAAGGCGGCCCTAACCTCATAGTATTCACTTTCATAAATACTCCATCCCTTATGTAACAAAAATAGTGTTTGTATCCACTCTTATGCTCACTTGTATTCCTACCTATGTTTGTGAAGGCTTTCTTTCTGTAAGTTTCGTTCACAGACAATATTTTGTTTGTGCAAAATTTGCACAGACAAAATAACACATATTTTATCAACGAACCGGATTTATAGACAAAAAAAACTTTTACAAACATGAGTGAGTATAAGAGTGTGCAGGTGAAGCATAAGCATTAAGGATTGTTGCTTATGTAACACGTAGTACTTTATTGAGGAACCTTTAACACTTTATCAAGTTTTTTGCTCCAATTCAATATGAACGTGAGAATTTAGAACTCGGCGGGTTTGATATTCTCATCCTCGTTAATTCTATAGTTGCAAAAAAAAGTTGTACTAAATGGATCGAATTGGAAAATGTTGGAACGGTCATTTTGAAGGAGGTAATGAGATTGGGACATATACCCGCTGAAATTTGATGACACCTGAAACAATTTGACTTTATCAAGTTTTTTTGCCACATAAATTAAGAGAGTAAAAGGTTTTATAGATTCAGGGCTTTGAGTAAAAGGTGTTCTATTTTAACTTAATACAATTAGTAGTTGAAAAAGTAAAATTGGTGATTGATATGATATATAACACATATTTCTTTTTAAAAAAATGTGAAACTCATTTAGAGACAACCCAAAGAAAAAAGTAGAACACCTAAAATGGGAGGAAGGAAGTAAAAGTTGACAAACATATTGCGTGATAGGGTGGAACGACAAGAGTAATAAGCACGTAGTATATGGAATTATTATGGATACTACAATGTCAAATAGCCTACACGTATTTCAATGAGGATTTGATCCTTAATAGGACTTTGATCATGAACATTACGATTGCAAGGAAAACAACTTCGATTTCACCAAATTATTTGGTGAATTCAACCGAGAGGGATTTGCCTGCTAAAAGCTTAAATGTGTACATGTGTGTGTATTTTGCATAGGTCAAGAAAATTATTAAAAAAATTGCAATTATCTTCAATTCCCTTGGCATTAAGCCCTAGCTTTTATGACCCATATGTTTCATCATTTTAAAAATGAATAACTATGTGTAAAAATAAAATGTATGTGTATTTTTGAAAGGATAAAATATATGTGTAATTGTGTATTTGATAATAAATAAACGTCTTACATTCAAGACCGCTCTATATATCTTACAAATAGAATCAAACGGCGTAATAATTATTAACACATAAGTTACGTTCTCGTTTGGATAAAACATTTTTTATTACTGTATTAAAACTATATACCTTACACTATTACAGTTACAATATGAATAACGTTAGTTCATTGAATGAGGTTGGTCAAATATTGTGATCTCCAAATGAGTACTAAATTACATGTTGAGCAAACATCGTTCCAATATTCCTCTTTCTCATTATCTCACATTTAAGGCTCCTTTTGAAAATTGAAACATACAAATGAAGAAAAACGGAATGAAAGAAAATTTGGCATTAAAATATCAAAAAATTTGTTTGTATTCATTTTTGTACCCACTTTTATACCCACCCCTATTTTCCTATTAATACAGGCAACTCGTTAAAAAGAATGCAACAATTTATCTGTGTTTGTCTTTTAATTTATAAGAATGTTTCGGAAAACTTGTACAGAAAGGTCGAAACATTAGCAAAGTATTACGGAGTACTATTTGGTAACTATTGTTAATTAAAATTATTATGTTTAACTATTTTTAAACATAAGTTTTACAACTGCACTTTCAGCCTTTTCTTTCCAGCGGCTTTCGGTTTTGATTTGCTTTCCAAGTATCAAGGAGTATTTGGGACGTAAAATGGGTGGGTTTTCCCACCATTTAGGAACTCTGATTAATAATAATTAAATTAGTAAAATAACGAAAACATCAAATGAAGAAAAGATGAACTATCTATAATTAAATTAGTAAAATAACCT